AAAAAAAAAAAAAAAAAAAAAAGTTGTGCAAAAAAGCAATTTTTAGTTCCTCCAACAGAACCCAGTGGACAGATCTGAATCCAGAGGAGGAGAGGATGTGGTCCTTTCTTGCATTTCTGTGCATTTTCTCCAGCAGGGATGAGCAGTGCCAGGGGCTGCCTGGATTTTCAGCAAGATCCCTGACTTCTGGGGATACAGCAAGCCTTGCTCAGCATCTTCCTCTGTGACCATGCCCTCTGTGGCTTCCTCACCTTCTGCTTTTCCTGCAGGCCTTCATTTCCTGCCTTGAAAAGTTAAGTGGGCTGCAGCTGTAAGTTGTGTTTAGCTGGAGAAGCGTTTGGTGTGGCTTCAACCCACCCCAAGGCAAAGATCCTTCTGGAATCAGTGTCCTTGGAAGGTGCCTCTGCAGTGGCTGCTTTGTGGGTCCTTTTTCTCTGTGATGTGTTGGCTGTTCATGTTTTGCCTCTGGGGATCCTGACTCGGTCACCTGCCCGTGTTTTGCTGCTGTGGTGGCAGGAGTGACCCGTGCCAAGCACGAGGGCTGAAGGGTGAGGACGGACTCTCCCTTTTCCTCCTGCATTCCTTGACTTTTTGTGTTTGGGTTGGCAAGTTGGCATCAGGGCTGGATTCACCTCCAGGGGCTGCTGGGGGATTTGCTGAGCAGACATCATGGGCTGGGGGGCCCATAATCCATCTCCTGATGGGGACACAAGGAGCACCCCCAGTGCCACGGTGTGTCAGGCACTGCAGAACCGTCCTCCAGTTGGAATGGGAACGCCACATCCCCAGGGAGTGAGAGAGTGGACAAAGGATTCACAGTGCTGGGGAGCAGATCCTGCTCTCTCAGTGCTCTGTCCCAAAAATTTAGCCAGTTTAGCCCTCCTCCCCTCATCCCTCTCCCTCTGTGGGTTTTTTGGTTGTACCAAGTGACATTTCCCAAAGGACGTTGTTCACAGGCTCAGATAATTATTCCTGGGCAGGAAAACACCTTGGAGCACACTTCCACACCCATTTTTTCCATGCTGGAAGTGAGTTCCTCCCCTCTGCACAGCGCTGTGCAGTTGTTCTCGCTCTGTTCCTGCCCTGCCTGGGTACCACAGAGCCTCGAAACAATTTCCAGCTGCAGCGGTGCCTCTGAAATCCCTCCAACCCTGCTCTCCCTGCCAGCCACGGGCAGCACAACGCGATATGCCTGGCTGTGACAGCACAATAAATAGGGAATGCTCGAGATCCCCCTTCTGCCTGGATCTGAGCTGTTCTCCTAAAGCCAGGACAAGAGCTAAGCTTCTGTACAGGGATTTTTGTGCTGTTCTGGAAGAGCAGTGGAGAGGGAATTGAAAGCTGTGGCTCAGAGGGAGAAGTCTGCTCACCCCCAAAAGGTGAGGAACCCTTTGCTTTAGTGTTCTGAAGATTGGGCTGTCACCTCAGGTAGGTTCAGCTATAAAAAAAACCAATAGAAATAAGGAAATAAGAAAAATAAGAATTTCCAGGGTGAAGCTCACCTGATGTAAAGGAATTCCCCTAAAATAGACTAAATAAACCCTCCCTGCTGTTTGCAAGAAGAATAAAGACAGCCAGCTCTGCTGAGGGGATCTCCCTGCTCCTATGGCCCTGCAGGGAGCAGGAGAATGAGACACACTTCACTCTCTGACAGGAGAAAGAGCCATGGGATTGGCTCAGTTGCCTTGCTGGACATCATTTCTAAATGCCTTGCAGGTTCCTCTGCAGATTTGGCACCTGAAAGGCAAAAAAAAGCAAAAAAAAAAAAAAAGCCAATCCAGGAGAAATACCCTGAGCCTGCCTCAGCTTCCATTCAGCTGGAAAGAGCCCCAGAGCAGAAGGATGGATGCTGAGGCTGTGCTCTGGATTTCATGAATGGATGAATGTAGAGACGCAAGAGGGGATTTTGAGGGGATTTGGAAGCCTGCTCCAGGATTTGTCTGGCACACAGAGCATTTATAATACTTCCAGCATTATCATAACATAATGCCAGCATGATGTGGGGCCCACTCAGGCTCTTGGTGAATAAAAAGCAGCATTCCTGTGGCTATCAGGGGGACAGGGATCTCACTCTGGATAAGCTGGAGTTTGCATAGTCCAGACTCTTGTCCTGGTGGCACCAAGCAAGGGCTGGGATGCTCCAGTGTGAGCTGTTTGAGTGTGTGTGAGTGCCAATGTGACACTGGGGCGGGTGCCTGGGTCACCTCCCCTTGGTCCTGGCTATAAGATTCCACCTTGGAGTTCTGGCTGAACTCCCTGGATTTCAGCCTTTGTGTTTTCCATCTGTTCAGCAGCTCCTACAGCTGAAGAGGAAAGGTGTCCCAATGAATTTCTCCTCACTGAGGTGGCTCTGTGAGGGCCAGGACTGTTCTCACTGGGAAATGGCCCTGGGGGAGTTCTTCTTTT